GTTCATTTTGTTCGCGCCTGCAGCCACTTGGGCTGCTGGGCCAGACTGGAACAAGAAGCCAAGAACTGCTTCCAGGCCTTCCTCGTCGGGGACAGGGACCCAGGTGCTGGGGCAGTCCCCACTGCCTCTCGGGTTACACAGTATCAGGGCCATGGACTGGAAAGGGCCTGGAAAGGACATGAACTGGACTCTGTTATGGCATGCGAGCATCTCAAACAGCGACTTACCCTCCATGCCCAATGCCTGCCCAGCTCCCTTGGCTTTTTTGTTTGTTTGTTTTTAGACTGTATTGGAGAGCTTTCCCAAATCTTTCCTTAGTTCTTTACCTGGTTGAAACTCCAAAGTCAGAAGACTAAGAAACCAGTTTGAGCAAAGCAAGAGTAATACTTCATGCTATCTTTGGCAGCAAACAAAGTGGACGCTTGTGCTAGTAGTCTCTGAGATCCTGTGACTGGAGCTCTTGGCGTGCCTCTTCCGGGTGTGCTGGAGGGATAAGAGGGAAGAGCCAGAGCAGTTACTTGAATGATTACTTCAGAGTCCATTGTTTTGTGTGTCAGTTTAATCCAGTTTTTTTTAATGTATTTGAAAGAAAGAAAATGAGACTATCTTCCATCTTCTGATTCACTCCCCAAATGGCCACAACAGCCATTGCTCGGTCAAGTTGAAGCCAGGAGCCCGGAGTTTCTTCGTAAGCACTTGGGCCACCCTTTGTTGTTTTAACAGGTGCAAGAGCAATGAAATACACGGGAAATGGAATAGCCGGGATGTTAATCCATGTCCATGTGTGATGCTGACCTGCTGAGCCACAGTGCTAGACCCAGACATTTTTTTAAGATTCATTTTTTATTGGAAAGTCAGATATGCAGAGTAGGAGAGACAGAGAGGAAAATCTTCTATCTGCTGATCCATTATCCAAGTGACCACAATGGCTGGAGCTGAGCCAATCTGAAGCCAGGAGCCAGGAACCTCTTCCTCTAGGTCTCCCACATGGGTGCAGGGTCCCCAGGCTTTGGGCTGTCCTTGACTGCTTTCCCAGGCCACAAGCAGGGAGCTGGATGGGAAGCAGGGGTGGCTGGGATTATAACCAGTGCCCATGTGGGATCCTGGCACATTCAAGGCGAGGACTTTTGCTGCTAGGCCACTGTGCCGGGCCCCCAAATTTTATTTTTAAGATGAGGGGAGGGCATGGGGAGGGGTTGGGGGAATCCTAGAGCCTATGAAACTGCCACATAATACAATGTAATTAATAAAAAAAAAAAGGTGGGGCATTACTGTGGTGTAGTGGGCTGGGCCTCTGCCTGTGGTGCCAGTACCTGTCCTGACTGCTCTAATTCAGATCCAGCTTTTTTCTTGTGGCCTGTGAAAGCAGCAGAGGGAAGCTTCCGGTTCCTAGCTTCGGATTGGCTCAACTCCAGCTGTTACAGCCACTTGGGGAGCCAGCCGGTAGATGGGGATTTCTTTGTTTTCCCTTCTCTCCTTCCTTCTGTAAGCCAGCCTTTCAAATAAAAATCAGTTTAAAAAAAGAACTTTCAAGTGGCAAACATGATTTTTGTGCTAGATGGTCCAAATCGTGAACTGTAGGTATTTCAGCATAACTTTCAGGGTGCAATTCCCGGTGCTGTATCCTCTCGGGCACGCGGTCCTCGGCGCTCTGAAAGACCCTGCGAGTTCATGCCGTGCAGTAATGTTACTGTCTGTCTCCTTGGCCTGTCGGATGGGCAGCCAGTAGAAGCAGCCAAAGGGAGTTGGAGTTAGACCAGCCTGTGTCAAGTTTTCGTGTGCTCGAGATAGTGCAATGCAGCGTCAGGGCAAGCATGGTTAACCCAGCCCAGGCAGTGGGGGACTGCGGAAGTGACCCTCATGTCCAGTTCCCAGGTGTTGGTTACGCTGTGGGGGCGAGCGCCACCCTTCTGGCCCCTCGAGTGGTAGTTGTAGGGCACAGGCTGCCATTCTGTGCCAAAGGAAAGGAGATGCCTGATGCTGTAGAAACGTGCACATTAGGATGTGAAAAAAAATGCAAAATGCAGATTTAAGATTACAGGTGTCATATCTTCAAAACAAAAACTATGTTGTTGTTATTTGCCGTGATCTTTATCTCTGTGTTAAACATCAGTTATATTTCCCTGACTTGTTCTTGACCATTTTTAGAGACTGTGTTCTCAGCTAGTTTGTGAGTTGCAGAGACACTAGACTCCACTAGGAATCTTTGAAATCCCCCGGAGCAAAGGCAGCGGCATGGTGTGACTGTGTGACTGATTGAGATTTAAATCTGAAACATAAAGGTAGTGATACAGGTATCCTCTGTTTAGATTGAAAAATGTTTTATTTGCCCATAAAGACTTAAATGTGAGCAGCAGTACACACTTCCGTATTACACATTTTTTATTTACTTTAGCTGTCTACCAAAAACCAGCCTTCAGATCTTACAAAAGGAAGTGTTTCTTCTAAGTGGACACAACACGGGCTTTGCCGTGAGATTTCAGTCTTTTGTCTCTGGGTTACAGTAATGTGGTTAGAAGAATTAGAGAGATGGGTGTCATTGTTAAGTACTTGCGTTGTAACATGCGCCTGGGTCCCTGCACAAGTAGGTTGTCAGGCGTGGGGTCCGCAGTGGGCCTGTCTCAGAGGCTCATGCTGTGTTAGGACGTGGGATCTGTGATGAGGTCAGCCTCGCTGGGCTTAACTCTGCACTTCTCTTTCTCCTGTCCTGCCGCCGGTACACACACCATATATTATAGTTGACTTTTATTTCAGGGAATGTGGTTTTAATAATAAAGTGCCTAGCACAGGGCTCCTGGTTCATACTTGGTAAGCGTTAGATTCTCTTCCCCATTTGCCGTATGTATTTTAATGCTTTAAAGCTGTATTATAAGCTCAGAGCCCATGCATTTCAGTTTTTTGATGTAGTTCTCCAAGTGGTAAGCCACTTATTTGCTATATTGTGTTCTTCATTTATTATCACTTAGCTAACGTCATTAATCCTAAATGTTGTTGTGTAGGCTTTGAGATTAAAATCGAGAAATAGTAAACTCAGTGTCCGGTCGGATTTCTGCTCTACAGTTTAAATTTCCATGCTATTTCTTGAACCATGCCTCGGAGCCCGCCGGCAGTTAGAGGCCTGTTGAAGGATGTGGCTTTGAGATGCTCCTGCACCTGCTCTGAGCTGCTCGGCAGCAGCACTTCTTCCTGGAGTGACCTTTAAAAGGACTTTGCAGATTAAAAAAAAATGAGAAAATAAAAGATTATTTATGATAAAAAGCAAAGTATGTTAAATTATAAAAATTGCCCACCTTTTGCGCTGGTGTGCCAGGGTGCTGGTGTGTGCAGGGTAGCCGCCCATGGGGCCTGAGGGGAGGGCTTGCAGTGGCCGGGGGTGGGGGTGCTGGCAGGAGATGTGGGGCTCACATCCAGACAGGCGGAACGCCCTCCGTTGGGGGACTCCCAGGATCTGTGTTCTGACCTTGGAGTGCCTGTGTCAGAACTGGGTTTCTTCAGTGGCTTGGATGGAGCAGTGAGGGGCATGCCCAGATGACATGGAGGATATGGCAGTCCACTGGGGCCCACAGAGAACGTGGTACCAGAGCAGAGGATGGTGGGCACAACACGTTGGCCAACTACCCCAGGCGGGCGCTGACAGCAAACATCTGGACGAGTGCGGGCTCTGAGGTAGACTGTGACAGCCAAGGGGCGTTGGAAGGACTTCCCCATCGACAGCATTTCAGAACCACGGAAGCCACTTGAGCAGAACCCTCGGAGCATGCTCCATTCTGGGGATTCAGGCTTGCCGTTTCTGATTCCTGGGTACAGACGATGTTGGGAGGCTGGGAGTGGCTTCTCCCCTTATCTGTCCCGCTTCTCCCTATTCCTCAACTCTTCCCACCCTAATCAGCTATGTAAATATCATCAAAAATAAAATTTTAATAATAATTGGGCCTGGTGCAGTAGCCTAGTGGATAAAGTGCTTGCCTTGCATGCACTGGTATCCCATAGGGGTGCTGGTTCATATCCTGGCTGCCCCACTTCCCATCCAGCTCCCTGCTTGTGGCTTGGGAAAGGCTCAAAGCCTTGGGATCCTGCACCTGCTGGGTGACCCAGAAGCCTGGCTCCTGGCTTCAGATCCGCTCCGCTCTGGTTGTGGCCACAGACGGGAGATCTGTGTCTCTGTGCTTGTCTCTGTAAATCTTCCTTTCCAATAAAACAAAATCACATCCTAAAAAATAAAATTTAACAAATTTTTCAAAAAGTTTCCAATGTAAAACTGTCCCCGAGGTAGGAAAAAATAATAAGAAACTGAAAAAAGCAAAGGGAATAAAATACAAAGCCCAGGAAATAGTCTTACGTAGCGGGAAGGCCGCTGCTGCCATCTTCGCCTCTGACAGCTTCCTGTCGGTTCACGGAAGGGGATCACGTGAGTGTATGGGAGCCTGCCTGTCTTGGCGCTTGGTGGGAATCTGCCAGAGGTGCCCCCCTCAGCCTTGAGAGGGACCCCCGCCTCAGACGGTGCTGTCTTTCCTAAGGAGCACGAGTTTGAGACCGAAGGAAGTGCGAAGACGGAGTTTGGTGCGGTAAGACCTGCATCACTCACCTCCTCTGTTGATTCCAGAAGCTGTCGGTGTCCACAGACTGTGCGGGGTAGCTGTTTTTGGTTAGCCTTTTAGCAAAGGTAAAGCAGACAGCTGGCTGGAAGATGAGAAAGCTTGTGGATGTCATGATGTGGTATCGAAAATGGCCCACCTAAACTGAAACATGAAAAGCTCGAATTATTGTTAATGGAGTTCTGAATGGTTCATTGCATTTTTGAATTAAAAAATGTTTCCTAATAGTTCATAGAACATTGTTTTCTTGGTGAAAAAAAAAAATGCTGCTCCCGAGAATTTTATTAAAAATCGTAATGTTATTAAATAAATGTTCGTCACTGGCCTGGAGCTGACATAGGAGAATAGGAAATGTTACTGTTGTGAGATTCGGAACCGCTGCCACCCTTCGTGTCTTGTCTTCAGGCGGCTATCACCCAGTGAAGATCGGAGACCTCTTCAATGGCCGGTACCACGTTATCAGGAAGCTAGGATGGGGACACTTCTCTACCGTGTGGCTGTGCTGGGACATGCAGTAAGTGTTCCTCGTCGGTATCCTTACCTTGATCTCAGAAGTTCAGTCTTTGAAAGTACTTGGTATTAGCATAATGCTGTTTTTCTAGCCATTCATCCATATCGGAAGGCTGTTTGGATAGAAAATTGATAACCTGTAGGTCTTTGGCATCTGCTGCGGCTTAAGGTCGTCGCAGTAAGACGTGTCACTGCTGCCCAGCTCCTACACACGCAATGTTTTCTGTGTGTTTCAAGTGAAGTGTGGCCAGGGAGTGCTTGCAGGTGCTAAGGCCAGTGTTTTTAAAGTCTTCCTTTAATTGGAGAAGACAGCAAAGCATGAAAACGTTGTCTTCACCCATGGGTCCCTGTCTAACTGTGCCTGCACAATCTGAAAAGTGCCTTTCTAAAGAAAACTTGTTAAAAGTTTCACCTTGTTAGCTACATGTTACTTCTTTTTTGCTAATATAAGTAAATTCACTTTTTTTTTTTGAAGGGGGAAAAGATTTGTGGCCATGAAAGTTGTAAAAAGTGCTCAGCATTATACAGAAACAGCCTTGGATGAAATAAAATTGCTCAAATGTGTAAGTACTTTGAAAATGTGAATGTTATAAGGGAAATTAATGACTAAAGAAAACTTGGGAAAAAATTTTTCCTGGGTGGTACTACATTAAAGTAGAAGTTCTTAAAAAAAAATCACTTACACTAAAATAGCATTGATCAGTTTAATACTAAGGATTCTAACCTCAGCTCCTCATTCTTGGGTCCCATTTTCTATGCACAGGTTCGAGAAAGCGATCCCAATGACCCGAACAAAGACATGGTTGTCCAGCTCATCGATGACTTCAAGATTTCAGGCATGAATGGAATACGTATCCTTTACCTAATTGTTGCTGAATCATGCATATTATTTTTCTTGCAAACAAGCAATCCTGGGTTGTGTTAAGTCCCGTAGGCTTTTGTCTGCTCCTGTGCGTGCCAGTCCCTGGAACTCTTGCGAAGTGTTAGGCAGTGGCTCCCCTAGATGGTGTTGAAGGGTTTTTGGGGGATTTGGATATAGTAGCATGTTAGGAAAAAAAATAGAAGGCAGCTTGAAACCCCACTTTTTGTTGTTTAAAGCCGGTGTCCAAGGTCTGTTTTTGGATGCCCCATCGGCTGTCTGGCACCTTGTTAGGGCCAAAACACTTGTTGAAACAGTAAAAGCGAAATGCTCTGTTTATGTTGACATTCAAGATTTTAACTTGAGTGTTACAAGTGAATAATAGTAGTAATGATACAGTGGCAATTGTTCTCCTCAACATGGGTTGGAGGTAGAAGTTCTAAGATTTGAACCAGAGCACTTTGGAAGCAATCCAGTGGCCAGCATCGTGACAGCCAGGGAGCTGCTGCTTAAGCTCTCTGCCTTCCGTTTGCCTGGTCTGTCACAGCTACTCTGCTTCATAGCCAGTGCCCTGCAAATGTGCCTTGGTGTGGGTAACCTGAGTACTTGTACCCCCATCCCTATGGGAGGCCCACATGGAGTTCCTGGCTCTTGGTTCTGGCCTGACCCCAGTGCAGCCATTCAGAGAGAAAACCAGCAGATGGAAGATATCCCCCCCCCTCTGTTTCTTGTATTTCAAACAAATAAATAAATTCCTAAAATTTCATTATGGCTTGATCTTAATGCCATGCCATTTTTTTGTTTTGTTTGTTTTTAAGATTGAAAGTTTGTATTTACTTGCTTTTCGATATTTTAAATCCCTGGCAGGTAGAGCACACAAATGACCTTTGCACAGATGATCCTGGTTTTGTTAGTTTTATCACAAGGAAGCTCTGTGTCGTTCTTTGCTCTGTACTTTCGAGTGCATGTCTGGCCCAAACAACAAACACCTTCAGTTTGAAGAGCGCTGTGTGTTCCCTTTAGTTTCAGAGACCTTGTCTTACAGCCAACGAAATGGCCTTCACCACATCCGGCCTTGCAGACACAGTTGCTTGCTAGAAGCACCAGGTCCAGCAGGCCTCCTCAGGCTCCAGGATGGTACCAAGAGAATTCCATTTCTTAAATTGTGATCCTAATTTTTTTTCTTTTAAGACTTATTTTATTTTAAAAAGCAGAGTTACAGAGAGGAAGAGACAGATTTTTCACCTGTGGGTTCACTCCCCAAATGGCTGCATTGTTTGGTCCAAAGCCAGGATTCAGGAGCTGCTTCTTCCAGGTCTGCCGTACGTACGGGTACAGGGTCCAGAGGACTCGAGCTGTCTCCTGCTGCTTTCCCTGGCCATCAGCAGGGAGCGTGCTCAGCACAGCCATAATGAATGTTGATCCTGCAAGGCAAAGGATTGGCCTTAACACTGACCTAGTTAGGCACTGTTAGATGACTGAAGGAAGAGATTCGATGGCTCTTTATGGCATTTTGTTTTTTATTTCTCATGTGTTTTAAGCAGCCTCTTGAATGGAAATGTAGGCAGGCGGGGTGAGCAGCTAAGCCCTGGAATTCCTTTTTTCCCCTGTATCAGTTCTACTGAGGCTTCCATCTCGCCCGTTTCCATAAGAGTGATTCTGGGTGGCAGTGTGCCGAGATGGCCGAGTCTGGGCTGTGGCCAAGTACACTCTGCCTCCTTGTTTGTGCAGTGGGGATGGTGACATTTCCTCAGGTGACTTCGAGTACATGCAATAAATAGTATTCATGTTGATATTTTACTGCAAACATGTTGATGCTGTTTTCAGTGATTGCCACCCTGCGGGTGCCATGTGTGTCTGAGTGGCCCTTAACCCTGTCCCAGATGTCTGCATGGTCTTTGAGGTGCTTGGGCACCATCTCCTCAAGTGGATCATTAAGTCCAACTACCAAGGCCTCCCCGTGCGCTGTGTCAAGAGCATCATCCGGCAGGTGAGCTGTCTGTCACCTTAGTGGCTGTTTGTATTCACGCATGTAGCATTTGGAACTCCTTTTAAATCAGTTTTGTATGTAATCACAGCCCATTTTGTTTCGTAAGAGGTGCTGTGTCAGTCTTTCACGTTTCAAGTATCACTTGCTTTGAGATGACCGTGGTCTTATCAGACATTGCTTTATCCAGTGTCTTGCTTTAAAACGTGTCACTGAGTTCCTTAGAAAAGCACTAAGAAATAATTCATTGTCCCCCCAAAACGTCCTTTTTTTGTCCTAAAAGTCATGGAATGGAAGCTAAATCAAAGGAAACTTAAGCATAATCTACACAGTATACACTAGTTGAAATGTGTTGTGTTGTATACTTGTGATTTGTAAGAGGCAATTTGTAATATTCCTGCACAAGAACACATACTAGGTAAATTAACTGGTTTGTGGTAATGACTTGACAGTACATACATTTATGAAAATTACCATCTTGTTGATAGTTTTTATTGTCAGTTATACCTCCATAAAGTTGGAGTGGATGAGAAATACTTAGGGTATATAGGAAATACTGTACAAGGGTTCTTCATAGGTTTCTGGAAGAATGGATTTAAAAGGTACGTTTATGAGGCTTGCAGTGCAGTGCAGTGGAGTAAGCTGCCATCTGGAAAACCAGCATCTCATTATGACTACTCATTGTCATTGCAGTCTCAGCCATCCCACTTCTGATGCAGCTCCCTACTGGTAGACCTGGGAGGGCAGTGGGGCCTACTATCCGCATGAGACACGGAGGAGGTTCTAGGTTCCTGGTTCAGCCTGGCCATTAGGGCCATTTAGGCGAGTGAACCGGTCTCTCAGTCTTTCTCTCTCTCCATATCTGTCCTAACTATGTAACTATACCTTTCAAATACATGATTAAATCTCAAAAAAAAAAAAAGAGAAAAAGGTCAGTTTATTCTGGTGCAGAAATTTGAAATTCATATATATAGCTTTCCCACAGGATACATTTTTAAAATATATATTTTTTTTATCTTAGAGGCAGATTTACAGAGCGAGAAGGGGAGACAGAGATCTTCCATCTGTTGGCTTATTCCCCAAATAGCTGCAACAGCCAGAGTTGGGCTGGTCTAAAGCCAGGAGCCAGGAGCTGCTTTGAACTCTCCCACGTGGGAGCAGGGGCTGCTTTCCCAGGCCAGAGACAGGGAGCTGAATCGGAAGTGGAGCAGTTGGGACATGAACCGGCACCCATATGGGATGCTGCCTAGGTGGAGGGTTAGTGGGCTAAGCTGCCTCCCACCCCATACAGTACACATAGTTTATTCACTTCATGAAGTACCTCATATAGGGATTCAAGTTTTTGGTGGTTTTGCTTGCACTAAAAGTAAACCTACCTTTAATTCTCTCTTCTGTGGGTCATTTAATGTACTCCTATTACGTATGTCCAGTGTTCTCTTGGCCAGCATCTGGCTTAGCGGGGAGATGCCAGTAGGTGTTTGTGGGATGAAGGCACACCTGTGAGAGGCACTAACGGGCCTCCTGGCCTGCAGGATGGGTGCCAGTCCATGTTCAGTGTGGAATGATCAGGGTGAATGCCACCTGCACTGCTTGTGCTAAAGATGAAGCCGTGTTTCTAGATCATCCTTTCTGGCAGAGCGGGTCTTCCCTGCGAGCTCTTCTGCAGAGCAAGGCTTGTGTCAGGCAGGTGGCTTCCGGAGACGGCTGTGTGGTACGGAGAGCCTGCCCTGCTCCTCAACCCAGGACTTGGGCCAGTCCTCTAGGGCTGCTGGCGTGACGTGTGGGCCTCAGTCCACACGTCGGAAAGGCAGCTGAGTGTGCACAGGTGAGTCCTGATGAACACGGGCAGTGCTCGGCCAGTGCAGGTGGTGCTCGTCTCTGAGCACCTGCCTGTGCGCAGACCCCGAAAGGGCCCTGTGGGTGCTGTAAAGCCATACTAGGTTTTCTTTGAAGCTGTTTAGCCTGCATACACGTTTAGCTTTTCACGTAAACTTTGTCCCCTCTTACCGTAAGAGAGGGTATCTGTTCCTTTTATTCATCATTTTAACACAGGGCAATATCTCATATGAGAAAGTTACGGCTGTCATTGAAGAGTAGGTGCAGTTGTTTGTTTCCCAAATGCTCCTTTGTTTTTTTTTATTGAGTGGCAAATCTAAAAAGAAATCCCCTTGTTAAAACTTGGGGAAATTTTCTGAATTTGCTCTGATAAATCCTGCAAGTTTTAAAGGATTTATACTCTAACCTATACTGAGTGGCTTCAGAAATAGCTCCATGCCTGTGAGGTACACAGGCCCTGCGGCTTCCGAGGAGCTGTGTGCTTTCAAAGCTGTCTGCCGTTGCCATAGGTGCCTGCGCACGTCACCCCCACACAGACTTGGCAGCTTGAGAAGGCGGATTTGAAGATGAACTACCGAGATTTATTTTGTTAGAGAATCTAGCCTTTCTTACCAAAAATCTAAAGTTAAAAATCAGGGGCTTTAACGGAGCCTGAGCGTGTGCTTGTTGACTGAACATGTGATGTGATGGAACCGTGTCCTCACTGAAGTGTGCATAACCTGCCCTTTGGGGGACGTGGATTTTGTTCTGGACCTTTGGTTTGTCTTTTGTGTTTGAACTCATCTTTATTTAAGAGCGATTATTGTTGGTTGCAGGCTTTTTTTCTAAGTGCCCGTAGAATTTGTGAAGTGTTACACAGCCCATTGTTAATTGTATACATTCATTTTGCCTCCCCTGGTTTTGATTTGGCCTGTGGGTTGAGTATTTGATTCCTGAGCAGAACCTGGAAGATCTCTCCTTGATAAATCTGCAGTTACACCCTTTCCCAGAATAAACCAGGGTAGGCCGATCCTAAAGATCTTTCACTCTTGGCCAGTTTTGACCTTGGAGGTCGAGTATGGCTGACCGTGGCTCGGCCGTTCTTTTCGTTTTGTCACTTGCTGTACATCACCAGGCGGCTGCCTTCACACAGTTCCATCCTTTCCCCGTATTCCTTTAACTCTCATTGTTTTCGAAGATTTATTTTTTTTTTGTTTGTTTAAAAAACAGAGTTAGGCAGACAGAGGACTTCCATCTGCTGGTTCACTCCCCCAAATGATCTCATTGGGCAGGGCTGGGCCAGGCGAAAAGCCAGGAGTTTCCTTTTTGCCTCCCACGTGGGTTCCAAGCACTTAGGACCGTCCTCTGTTGCTTTTTCAAGCACGTTAGTAGCAAGTAGGATTAGAAGTGGAGCAGATGGGTCTTGAACCAGTGTCCTGTAGAAATCGGGTGCTGCATGGTGCAGGTTTACTGTGACACCACCACAGCAGCTCCAAACACAGATGTGGGAGGCTCAGCCGGCTTGCAGTGCCGTGGGAGGCCCAGCCGGCTTGCAGTGCCGTGGGAGGCCCAGCCGGCTTGCAGTGCCGTGGGAGGCCCAGCCGGCTTGCAGTGCTGTGGGAGGCCCAGCCGGCTTGCAGTGCTGTGGGAGGCCCAGCCGGCTTGCAGTGCTGTGGGAGGCCATGGAAGTCTCCGGAGCTCTCCCTCGACTCGTGGCGGTCGCTCGCTCCTCGTGCCTTCATCTGCAGCTGGAGCTCCTGTTCCTGCTGTGCCTTCGCTAGGCTTCTGTCTCAGGGCACGCAGCCCAGCCTGGTCCAGTTCAGGCTCCTCCTCCTAGTCCTTCCTCCGAAATCTTTAGTGGCTTCCCATTGCCTGTTTGCTAAAGTTTATCAGTCCAGGCCGTAACGAAGCAATACATGGAGTGATTAGCAGCGTGGACTTGTCAGATACATCCTTCAGGACGTGAACCAAGTTACTGGACCTCACTGAATCACAGCGTTATCATCAAGGAAGCTGGATCGCTACCTCTGCGTTAGGTAATTGGGAAGATGCAGACAGTGCTAAAGCAAACGGAGTTCACTGCTTCCTGTACGTCAGGCATAGTTCAGAGTTGTTTGAGTTCTGACCGTCATGCTATAGAACAGGGATTACTGCTGTCCTGGGGTCATGGGAGAGGAAACTGAGGCATACAGCAGGAAAGTAACTTGCCCCTTGTGAAAGGGCTGGCTTCAGAATCAGAAGTGGTACAGCCAGATGGACACCCAACCAGCGTGGCCTTGCAGCTCCAGTGTTGAGCAGTTTGCTGGGCAGCATGGAGTACTTTGAGAATTGTCCTGGGCCCTTGGCCAACAGAAGTCACATTGCTGTTCTTCCTGAAAAGCTGGTCAGAGTTTTTTGTCTGGTATCACAGTCCCTGTTTGCACAAAAATGTGTGTCCTCAGTTGCCCGTGTTTCCTCCTGAAGGCTATAAAGATGTGGAGATGTTTTCAGCATTTATAAACACTTGCAAACTTACCACGATTTTCGTCCATGCATTTTTACTGGTTCATTCTGTGGGTGGTTGGAGAAAGTGCCTAATGATCATTATTGACCCTTTCTGTCCCACATCTTTTTAAAATTTTTTTTTTATATATAAGCGTTTATTTATTTGAAAAGCAGAGTAACAGAAACATAGGGGAAGATTCAGAGAGAGAAAGAGAAACCTCTTTCCATGCATTGGTTCACTCTCAAAATGCTAGCAATGGTCAGGGTTGGACCAGACCAACGCCAGGAGCCTAGAACACCCTTGAGGGTGAGTGGGAACCAGGCCCTTGGGTCATCTTGCACTGCTTCCCCAGGTTCATCAGCAGGGGGCTGAGTGGTAAGTGGAGCAGTCGGGACTTGAACCAACATTCATATTGGATGTTGGCACCTCAGACAGTGGCTTAACCCACTGTACCACAAAACTGCCCTGAAGATTTATTTTGTTATTTGAAAGGCTGAGAGAGACCACTTGACCAGCCAGCCAGCCAACAGACGGACCTTCCATTGTCAGGTTCACTTTCACAATAGCCGCTGTTGGTGAGGATGGACCAGGTCAAAACCAAGATCCAGGATTCTGTCCTACTTGCCACATTGGTGGCCGAAGCCCAGAACTCAGGCCGTCCTCCTCTGCCTTTGGTTGAAGGTGGAGCAGCTGAGACTCACAC